AACAAAAATGATGAATCATCAAGTGTGACAATACTTATGAAAAAGGCAGTAAGTCATTGCATGCCAATAGTCAGTTTGACTAACTTTCCCATATATTATATGATCTAGCTCATTCTTCATTCACTTTCCTAGCCAAATCAAGTTGTGCCCTTAAATCAACCGACAGAAAACTTCAATCCGTTTAGAAACCAGTCTGCTTTTAATTCTAATAGCCAGCATACTTTCTATTGAGTTCATTTGCCCATGTAAGTTATGCTTTCAACTCTTCTGAAATCCAATGAGTTGGACCATTAAAATATGTACAGTGAAATGACTACCTCTGGCTATGGTAACGATTCCGTTATTCCTACAGACGATTATGGTGTTCAGTAAATGTTTCTGATTGTTTTATAATAATTTCATTTTGGACATGCAGTACTACACCATCTGGGACTGTGAATTAGTTTTATTATAGGCAGTGATTCCTTTGTCCATTCCTTCAACATTAGTGCAAGTGAATTGTATTAAATATCAGTTGCATATAGCTTCATGTTAACCCAGCTCCTTTTAATTTCACAAAATATGGATTGGACTGGACAATCCACTAGGTATACCTCTTGTTATCAACTTTCTTACGTGTCGGTGGTGCATGATGCCTGGCATAATATCCATTGCAAATTGAAGTCTATAAATCGCTCTACTATCACCTTCATCCCCTTTGTGAATCAAGAATCAAACCCATCAACACGTAGTACACAAAGAATTCTATACACGTATGTAACTGTGCTTCCAGCTCCCGATTGTATCAACGATTTGCTTCCTTCATCTTACTCTTTTTTTCGTTGTATTCTACGACCTCTATAAGGAAATTTCAGTAACAGATCCTCAAGACAGCTCGCCCTTGGCCGTTTGGACCAGATGGCCGAACTCTGAGTTGGACTATTTCCTCAAGAATCATAGCTACTCACCCCTTCTCTGACACTGGGGACAAATTCCCCTTCCGCCGATCCTAAGTACCTTATTCTTACAGGAATACTTCGAGTCGCAACTTTTGTATCCTTCGCAATCTTTGCTACACCCCAACCCTGGGCCAAGGATGAAGCCTTTACAACCTTTATACCCACAATGATGATTATAATGCAGGTTTTTGTTAGGAGTAGTCTTCATGATGAATGTATGGGTGGCTGTGGATGTAACTGCGTCGAGTATTGGTGGTGTGGAGTTTGTGATGTAGGCGTGAGTTATCAATATGAGATGGGAGATAATGTCTTTTGTGAATTATCAGAAACCTTAAAAATTAGGGCTTATGTATACACCAGTGGACATGCGCATTGGCCATTGAACCGGGTTTAGCGGAGGTGGTGAGCGACGCTGCCAAAGTTGTGGCAAATGCGGAGCTATCCTGAGGCTGGGCCCACACCATTCAAACATCGTTGGTAGGTGGTGCTACGTCGGGATGCGTGGCCGGTAGTTGCTTTCATTTTTCTGCTTCTCGTGATGGCGAATTCTTCTTCCGAGGTTACCTATATGTTGCAGACGCTGCGTCTCACGTAGATTATGTGGATCTATCCCCGTGCAGGTAATGTTACAACCAAGTCTCGAAAGGAAGTCGCTTAGAACTGTGTTCTAAAGCTGTCATGCTTGCATGGATGTCCTACGCTTTGACGCAGAGCTCGACCACAGTCACATAATGCCAAACAATGCTTGCTACTCACTGCATGTGGTAGGGTAGTCGCAACCCTGTGGTCGTAGAAGGAACGGTAGGCCCGGCCGGAAAGATATTCCCAAAGCGTTATTGTTTTGGACGTGCTTGAGCCAAAGTTGAGTGAGAAATACAAGGTTGGACAGTCAGTTGCGTATAGGCCGAATGTCTATATTGCTCGTAGATTGACCTCATATGGAACGAAACACCTAAAATAATACTTTGGCAAACAAAATAATTACCAATTAAATATAGAATACATTTCACGTTGCAATCCGCTCGTAATTCCCTACCATACATGACAATAAACAAGTCGTTTCAAGTTGAAATAGGTAGCACTTACATATCCGCACGTATGTATCAACGCAACCAGTTGCAAACAACTCGCCAGTCTGACTGAAATCCGCTGAGAGGACAGTGCTCCTTTGACCCTGTAGCATGAACTGGGCCTTCATGGTGCTCTTCTCGAAGAGGTACACACTATGATCCTTTGATCCACTTGCAAACCATTGGCCATCTCGGCTCTCTGTGATGTACAGTATAGAGTCATTATGACCAACAAAGTTCAGTGTATTAACGCTTCCTCGTTCTCCGCGTTCTCGAGCGAGTTCAGCCATAACGTCGCTACCTACAATCGTTCCTGGTGGAGGTTTTTCCACAGGAGGAGCAGGTAGTTCGCGCTTCGGACGCGAGGGTAAATTTGCATTTGTACCTCCCCGTTTGCCTGTCGGCTTGCACGAGGGAGGAAGTGGGAGTCGCCGAACAGGACCAGTTCCAAGAGCACCAATGTCCCAAACCTTCACCGCCTTATCGGAACTCCCACTGAACAGATTCTTACCGTCAGCTGAGAATGCCACGCATGATACGGCATCACGATGGCCTTTTAAACGCTCAACAAGATTTCCACTTTGCGTCTCCCATATGCGTACAACGGAATCCACGGACCCGGCAGCGATAAGATGGCCATCGGGAGAGATCGCGACATCGTTGATCCTCGTATCCACCTCCGGTGGCTCCTTTATATGAAGGACCTTCTTTGGTCCCGTATCTAACTCCCACACGCGTAACGTGCCATCAGCTGATCCAGAAACAAGGGATTTACCATCACCGGAGAACACGACTGAGGTTACCTGCCGCTGATGGCCTTGAAAAAGGTGCTTGACTTTTTTCGTCGCTATATCCCATATCTAGTGTAAACCAGCCATCGATGGAAGAAAATGAGACGGTCGCGTTTAGATGGTTTTGGCACACACGGCGTTTAACTCTGAGCAAATGAACGGCTACTCACCTTAATCGCGTTTCCCGGCATTCCCAGAGCCAGATATTTTGAATCGGGGCTAAATCGCAGAGCTTTAGCATGCGAGACATTCCTCGAGCCCATATTTCCAGTAAATAAGATACTGCGGTTCCCATTAAACGCGTGGTCCTCGCTTTCTTTGACGGACGTACCAAATTTTCTTCCGCGTTCGTGTTTCATATATTCGAATGATGTTTCCGCAATACGTTGCAAGGAGCCTGCCATCTGTAGAGAATCTCACGCAGCTTACGGGCCTGGACGAGGTCCAAATCAGTGCCAAGTCATCTTTTTCAGGAAAAATAGACCACGTACCCTTCAAGCTTCAGCTCGCATTCGGAGTACACGTTGAGGGTCCGTTTTAATCGAGGATTGAAAACGACAGACCAGCCGGAGCTTCTTGTCTTCTGTTCAGAAGGTGCATCCTCAGGTAGCACATCATCGACAAAAGATCTGACTAGGACAGGACGGTATGCAGATGGAAAATGAGGGATAGGTGCTGCTGATGAGTCTATACGTCGAGCCTCTGGTTCTGACAGTGTTAATAGTAAGACAAATGCATAGGTATGTGGCGTTGGATAAAGTATACCTGCAACATGAAGATCGGGGTTGGCATCTGCGTTCTTTCTCGCCGGATTGCGTGCGTCCTTCATCCTCGTCAATTTCTGGAGGATTGAATTCATGTCTGGGCGATCTGCGGGATTGCGTTCCCAGCAATCCAGACACACATCCCAAAGATCTTGCAATACCTCTTTTCCTCTAGAAGCCCAATATTCGGATACAGGTGGAAGTACAGGTAATTCATTTCGAGCTATGGCAGCTATCGCTTGTGAGTCAGATAGGTCTGCGAACGGTCGTTGCCGCGTGAGTAACTCCTTTGGTTAAGCGTCAACGTCGGTGTTATCTTAACGTAGATGAACTAACTCACGAAGACAGCCATTCCAAAGGCCCAGATGTCGGTCTGCTTGGTGTGACCCGTCGACTGCCCGGAAAGAGCAAGGAGCTCACATGCCAAATACCGAGATGTTCCTCGGATGCCGCTGCTGAAATTGACCAAGCTTCGCGTCGCGCTCATCATTCGGGCACATCCGAAGTCACACAGTAATGCGTCTCCGGTGTTCGAGACTAAAACATTATCCTAAACTCTTTCAACGATGCAGAAAAAGATAATAAAACAGACAAAACTACCGATTTGATGTCGGAATGCACTACGCCTTTGGCGTGAAGATAGGCGAGGCCTTGAGCAATTCCAATGACCTGTGCCTACCTTTAAATTAATACATGGTAGAGCAACGGTTGACGCACTAAATGCATAATGTCGCATTGTAAGTGTGCCTTTACATATGACCATGCCGATCCTCTATCCATCCATTCCGAGATGAGCAGCGGGTATCTGTATTCGTTGGCAAATGCAAAGCCTAGCAGCGGCAAGATGTTATCATGCTTTAGCTTAGACCAAACATAGATCTCCTTCTCGAAGAGCTATCACAAAAAGTCTGTTAACGCTGGGTGAGGGTTGTAATCAGGCCACGTACAGATTTGATATCTTCCTTCAAATAAAACCGTAATCGTTTAATTGCCACCCTTACTTTACCTCGCTCAGGGAAGCTACAACGTCCTTTGAAAATATCACCATAGCCACCTCCACCGACGAAGTTCCTTTCTTTGAAGACAATGTGCGAAGATAGGTCAAGGTGTTTTAGCTGGGCAAGTATCTCGGGCTGGACAGTCTCTAGGGGGTTTGTACAAGTGAATTCATCGCTCGAATCTGAGTCCGAACTCGCATTGCTCATGAGGGCGAAGAATGCTTTACACTGAAAAGCAGGATGTCCCCGTCAGCGCATCACAATTCACATCCTTGGGTAGATGAACGCTCTGTGCAAGAACCCGAGTAACGAGTTGCCGAAAGGAATCTACTGATTATTACATCAGCATTGGTCAATTACCCACTTGAAATTTTAGTGACTTAGTCTCCCTTTTCACTTCGCAAATCGCCAACCGGCGAATTATCACGCAGAAATAGTATGTAAATCTAATTAATATCACATTGGAAGCAGGACGCTCAATAATAGTTGAGTGACTTATGCGCTCAAGCAGCAATGTAGTTCGTTCACGTAACAAGGAATATGACAAATGACTGCCAGGTCATGTCAGCTGACTCAGCTCAGCTCTCGTGAAAGTCTATTGCTGTATCAGTGCATCAGGCTTCAGCAATCAATTCTTGCTTAGACTTATTAATATAGCTGCCAAAAATTCTTTCATTATCTACCCTTCTCTAAAGTACATCATCATGGTAAATGAAACTCCTCGGCTCATCGATGCCGTTTCTCAAGTGAGACGGGGCAACGGTCCGGACGTGTTGACAAATGGCTTCTTCTACCCGTCTGCACACTCACACTTCGTTCTTGATGACTGGTCACCAGACTCCAGCCTTTGTTCTCTACAAGCAGGACGAGCATGGCACTATCCCTGCAGGAGGTTTCACAACACAACTCTGCCAAGTAAGTCTTTATAGTGAATCCAGGCATTACCACACGTAACCACGGAATACAGGTCGTGCTGGGTCATTATCCATAACCATGTCTATGACGTGACCGAGTTTTTACCAGTACGGGATAACTAAGCCTGATTGGCAAGTAGGGAGTATTAATGATGATGATTGTAGGACCACCCAGGAGGAGCAAAGATCATTCTCAAATACGCTGGCAAGGATGCAACAGAGGCATTTGAGCCTATCCACCCGCCTGACGCGCTCACGAAGTTTCTTCCTCCTGAAAAGCATCTCGGACCAATTGACGAAGGCTCGGCTCGCATAATAAGTGAAGCATATCAACAGAGGAAAAAGACTCAAGATGAATTGCGCGTGGAGTTGGCGAGGAAGGAGAAACCTCCGTTGAGCAGGTGATAAGAATTGTTTACTCCTTTGATAGGTTATTGAAGTTGGTTTAGAGTACTAAACGCTCTCGAGATGGAGGCAATTGCGAAGAAAATCCTTTCGTATAAAGCCTGGGCGTTTTTCTCATCTGCAGGAGACGATGGTGTCAGTAAGTGTATCAGTCCGATGCTCCGCATTAGCAGCGCCTTTGACATGTAATGAACTAGCTCACGAGGAAAATATTCGCGCATTCTCGCGGTTTTTCTTCCATGCGAGGGTTCTTAGACCTATATCTAACTGCGACCCTTCAACGTCGATATTAGGGTTTCGCTCTCCGATCCCTATATTTGTCTCTGCCACTGGAGCGGTAAAGTTGGGTAATCCGGCCGGCGAAGCGTCGATAACCCGCGGTTGTGGGAGGACGGGAATTATTCAAATGGTCTCTTCCTCCGCTTCACTTTCCTATGCAGAAATAGATCAGGCACGCATAGACAAGTCGCAGCCACTATTCTTTCAGCTATACAAGATTGCGGGTGAACATGCGATAGATCGAGTACGCGATGCAGAAAGTCTTGGTTACAATGCGATCTTCTTGACCGTTGATGCACCTGTTTTGGGAAACCGCGAAAAAGATATACGTGCTCCGTTCGAACTCGCAGGCCAGGAGAGAGAGGCGAAGCGACTCGCAGCTCAGAACGAAGGTAGTCCAGAAATTCCACTGGATCCCGACACAGATTCAGAGAAGGAAAACATGTCTCCAGTGGCGAGGCTAGCCGGCGGAAGCGATGCGGACATGTCGTGGGAGAAGGTACTGACTCTCGGGTCCTCCATCTTGTTGTCTGACCTTGGATTGGTAGACCATCGCTTGGTTAAGGAGCGTGACCAAACTACCTATCGTACTGAAGGAAAGCGTTCTGCTTTCATTTTATCACCATTTTGAGCCTTACAGTCATTTAACACAGGGAATACAATGTGTTGAGGATGCAGTACTAGCTGCTGAAGCTGGTGTAGACGGAATACTAATCTCAAATCATGGAGGTACGTACTTCTGTCATGTAAAATTGAACTCCTTGTTCAACGATTTGTAGGCCGTCAGCTCGAATAGTACGTTTTAATCAAACGATCAACAAAACATCCATCTGATTTCAATTGAATGTTGCCATTAAGCTCGATGCCTTCCATAGAAGTCCTGTATCGGCTTCGTAAAGAACGACCTGATGTGTTCTCCAAACTTGAAGGTACGCAGACGAATGCCACTTCCTACTTTTGCCAACTAATTGTTATAATTATTTTAAAACAGTATACATGGATGGAGGAGTGCGACGCGGAACGGGTCAGTGTCTCCCGCCACTTCCCAGCCTCAGAAGCTGACAGGCTCGTGTTAGACGTAATTAAAGCTCTTTGCCTCGGTGCGAAAGCCGTCGGGATCGGTCGACCGTTCCTCTACGCTCTAAGTGTACGTGTTTGCTCCGCTAGTTCTTATCAACTCATCTAAGAGTCGTGATGTTTTCTATGTGATAACAGGCATACGGCGAAGAGGGTGTAGAGCATCTAGTTCGCATTTTCGAGTCAGAGATCATCCGTGGTATGCGGTTACTAGGTGCTACGAAACTCAGTGAGCTCGTCCCTGAAATGGTAAGCAAATAATGACTATCTCTGTTGTGAGCCCGACTTATCATGCGTACCTTCGTAACTTTGGTATTGCAGGTAGAGAAAGTAGATTGGCAGCCGATACTGGCCAGGCTTTAGCGAAATCAATTTGAGATCTTGAGCTTTTGTATAATGACATGTCTTTGACCTATTCGAATGTTTTTGGAGGACGGAAGGGACTTGTTTTTTGAATAAAAATTTTGAGAAATATGGATCACGCAAATAAAATTTACTTTCTAAACCTAAAGCGAGTTCGCATAGGCAACAGATGCTCGGCGGCGATTGAGAAATCTCCACAAACAAGATTGACCACGCTACTGCAAAATTGAGGTCTTTCAGAAATTCTGCTAAATGCTCTCTGCTAGACCAGTGGCCAGACTGAGACTGACCAGTAAGAGATTATGTAATTAGCGTCACGTTATCCTCCTCGCGGTCACGAGCTGAGTCTTTCTCTCCTGTCTCTCAAATTGAGTCTCAATGAGTCAATCCATCCATATAGTATGCTGAACTCACTGCGTCGTAGCTTTCCTCCAACAATACGACAGCTGCTCTCGGCTACATCGAACCGGTCAATTTCTCAGACAGAGATCTGTGGTTGGATAAAATCTGTTCGACGGCAGAAGAATGTATCCTTCGCTGTTGTCAGCGATGGGAGCTCAAGTAAAGGACTGCAGGCGGTTTTCAGGAAGGATGTCGTACCTGAGGGGTGAGTTCGCGTACCCGGTCATGTCAAAAAGCTGCCTACTAATGTGTCGAATCATATCCAGATTAAGTAATGGATGTAGTGTGAAACTGCGTGGAACGCTCGTTGAAAGTCCTGGTGCAGGTCAAGACAGAGAGTTTCGTGTAGAAACCGCGAAAATCGTCGGAAAGTGTGATCCGGATGTGAGCCTCTGACGAGCGACCTTCTCGAAGCGCTCCTAACTTTCTGCAGGCTTATCCTATACAAAAGCAAACGCTCTCTGTGGACTATTTACGTGACCAATGCCATTTACGTGCACGAACAGACAAGATTGGTGAAATGCTACGAGTTCGAGACTGCCTAACACGGTCGACGCATTCTTATTTTGAAGTCAGTACATTCCATATTTTTGCATACAGCCGAGACTAAGCAAGTTGTGCCAGAAAGAAGGCTTCATGCATGTTCACACGCCTATCATAACGTCCAGCGATTGTGAAGGTGCTGGTGAAACGTTTCTCGTTTCCGCCCCTACAACATCCTCGTCAGAACACACTACAGGAACGGATGAGATAGAGTCAAAGCACTTCTTCAAAAAAGAGGCTTATTTGACGGTCTCTTCGCAACTTCACTTAGAAGCTCTTGCTCACGCACGATCTCGCGTATACACACTTTCACCGACCTTCCGTGCAGAACGCTCGCAGACGAACCGACATCTCGCAGAGTTCTGGATGCTAGAGGCAGAATGGGCCTTCGTTGTGAAAGTTGCGGAACTGTGTGCTGTCGTAGAAGACATGGTTAAGTACGCTGTTCGCGCGGTCGTTGCCGAAGAGAGATATGAGGATCCTGCACTCGAGTCTCGTGTACTAGACACTTTCGCATTGGACAAGCGATGGACTCACATGACTTACTCGGACGCTATCGAGAAATTGCATGTTGCTTATGCTGCTGATCCGCCGCTCTTCGTATTTCCCCCAGAATGGTGTAACGGTCTGCAAAGTGAACACGAGAAATGGCTGGCAGAGAAGGCTGGCTCTCCTGTCTTCGTCACAGATTATCCTGCCTCGTTGAAACCGTCCTATATGCGCATGAATGATGACGGGAGGACGGTGGCTTGTTTTGATTTGCTTGTTCCCGGAATTGGCGAGCTTGTGGGAGGGTCATTACGAGAGGAACGGCTGGACTTTTTGGATGCGGCGTTGCAGTGTCACGGTCTGCTTGAAAAAGAGGAATACGGATGGTATAGGGAATTACGCAAGTACGGAGGCGCTCCACATGGTGGATTTGGACTCGGTTTCGAGAGGCTTGTTAGTGCCGTATCGGGTATACCAAATGTTCGGGAATGTATTGCAATGCCTCGTTGGGCAACTAGGATGCTGTTATAGAGCGACTTTTCTCCTTTGCGCGCCAAACTGAATTTTCTACCACAGGCTCATGTCGTCAAAGTTAAATTAAAAATAGAAGAACGAACAGAAGAGGTTTGGATGGTTGGCTTGGCTTTTCTTACGGTACTTGACAGGAGCAATGTGGACCAGTCGGCGAGATGACTCTGCTTCTCTATTACTGGAACAATTAGGACGAGGTGGGACAATCTGGAATTACTGGGGATACTATTCCCTGACATTCATTTCAGTCTGTGAGGTTGACGCTAAGCCAGTGCCGCCGTAACTCTCAGCATGAGTACCCGAGGCCTGGCGCTGTAACTTGATAAATTCTCTTTCGTCGCAAAAATTGCTGACGTCGCATGGTTCTAGAGTCTCATTTCCGGACTGTATGATTGTTACATTGCAGGCTTTGAGTATACTGACTTGTTTCTGAAGGGAGTACAGGCCTCTGCTTCCTGTGATGATGGGACTGACTGGGAGTAACACGAAGCCGAGAATACATGCAGCACCTTCTTGCCCATTGAAGGCCTGGAAGTAAACTTAGTGACTTGGTAAGTCTATTTTTTCTTCTAGAAGTAAAAGGTATATTTACGTCCAAATGTTTTCCCCAGCTCTTCAAAGCCTCATTCATAAAGTCAGCCTTTTCCGGCTGAGAACCACACGCAAATTCCTCTCGTTTGGAGCGTGTTTAAGTGCCGCAATGAGAAAGGCAGCTTACAAGGTGGACCAAATATTAATGAGTATCCTTATTGAGTGTTGAGGCGGATTTGTTCGCCTTTGGTGTGTCGTCCACACTCCCTGTGAAATTAATAGACATCTCACTGAGTTGTATCGTCCATAGACGCTGCTGCCGGCCTCGTTGTAGCTGGCAAAGAAATACCATGCAAACACGCTTCGGTGGATAACAGCGCTCGTGTTTTCCTGCATGCGCTTGTTCCAGTCGAGCGCTGCGCAAGTTTACCCGAAACTTTGGGCGAACTGAGAACCATGCCGAACGAAGCCAGGTTTGGTGGGTTGCAACTCTTGTACGTCAATTAATTGCTGGAAGAGCGGCTTCGTGGCGTAACTCAATGAGGCCAGACAAGATTTGGACGCCCATTGGAGTCAAATGATGAATGAATGGTTCTGTTTCGCTCTCGGCTAGTCAGAAGGCCTGTTTGCCTGCTGCTACTGATGTTGGAGGAGGCTCGGTGTACAAGGTAACGCGTAACTCTATGTTGGTATAGGGTCTGACCCGTGTTGTTCTCTTCAAACAGGGTAGTGGTCTGTCAGTGATAGGCGCCCATCAGCGTAGAACCAAGTCAATATCATGCATGAGGCAGAGCATTCAAACCGCGGTCTTTTCCAGACAATCCTGCTTGTTTTCATCGATAGGGCGTCAGAATTTCCCTTCTGTTTGCATTATACCCGCTCTTCTATTCCTTTTGACTTATTAGACATGCAAGTTTACCTCCACAGCGTGCACGGCACGAGGCAGAGTTATTTTAGGTGGTCTGGAGGCGCAACACGATGTGTCTAGCTGCTCTGCACAAAACGACTCTTTACGAAATGAATCGTACGTAGGACTTGACGAGGAGGGGACGAAGTCATCAAGGAATATTACAATGCACTGTCCCCGACACGTGTCTAAATAGATGTAAGATGGCATGCCCGTCTGTAGTATTACCGTATATAAATCACTATACAACACGCAAGGACAGTCCCCTCACCAGAGTCACCACTACACTTGGACTTTCTCTTATTGCCTTAGCATACGCTGACTATTTCGTACAAGCATCCTGATCTCTTACACGTTATGACATCCGTTTCCAAACGCCAAGCAGAGCCTGAAGCTAATGTGCTATTTCCGCATAGAGATTGGGTCCCTGCTCAATTGAAAGAGTCAGATCCTGGAACAAACGAGGAAAAACCTGGGGCAAACAAGGATAAGGCCCGCAGGCTTGTCCTGTGCCTTGACGGAACTAGCAACCAGTTCAGTTACGATGTAAGAGTCACATTATCTCTCGTGAAGCAATTAACAAGTATATTATTAGAACTCGAATGTCCTTGAATTCTTCAAATGTCTTCGCAAGGATGACAAGCGTCAATTAGTCTATTACCAGACAGGAATAGGGACATATACCAAATCTACCTTTGTCACCAAGCCAGTAGTTCTGGCGTCAATGTTGGCCGATGCGGCTATTGGCTGGAATCTCGAGGATCATGTTGAAGGTTGAATGACTAGTTAAATTCTCCTGCGAGTTCGACTGATGCTTCTGCTGGCAGACGCATATCGATTTTTAATGCAAAACTGTAAGTTATTTTATTCAATCAACTGTGTAAAAGTAAGAGTATTTATGTGATCTATATTTGACTTAGATAAAGCTGGGGATAAAGTTTCGCTTTTTGGATTCTCAAGGGGAGCATATACAGCCCGTGTACTCTATGGTTTTATTCAGAAGGTTGGCTTATTACCACCCGACAATCATGCACAAATTCCGTTTGCCTGGAAGGTCTTCATGGGCAGTGATATTAACGGGGGTTTTGAAGAATGTGCCAGATATAAGAAAGCATTCTCACTACCTGTTGAGATTGACTTTCTTGGTGTCTGGTACGTCTCAAATTTTCAGAAGACAGAGTATTTAAATGAACTTTGTCTTTTCAGGGACACAGTTGCATCAATTGGAATATCTGGAAAAGAGCTGCCTTTCGACAAGCCCTTGAATGGGAAAGGTCTTCGTGTTTTTCGGCAAGCACTTGCATTAGATGAACGGCGTGCAAAGTTTATTCCAAACTTTAAACTTACGGATGACGGTACTTTGTCAAGGAGTGACTTCGGAACTGGAGAACCACGTGAGTTGTATCTTGTTCTGAATATTGACCGTACTATTGACTTACTTGGCTTCTCAAAACAAAGCTGTGAGCGGCTGCGCCCTTGAAAATTCATCCCTAGAGGACCCAGTTCTCCATGCACGGAGCCGGGAGGTCTGGTTTGCAGGTTGCCACTCTGATGTTGGGGGAGGCTCTGTTCCTCACACGACACGTAACTCTCTGGCGCGCATTCCTCTGCGATGGATGATCCGAGAATGCTTTCGCATGGACACAGGTATCATATTTGATAAGAAGATGCTTGCGGAAATCGGATTTCGCTCTGTACCATTTCGCCCAGAGGATAAACTTCGACAGGAGAAACAAGTGAAAGCTGCAGACGACGCACAGTCGCTCATCAAAGCAATTCAGGGGTTCTTTCTCTGCAAATTAATTGGCTATATATTCGCAGCATTGTTTTGGCCAGCCATACGCCTGTTCAACCTCATTAGGTACTCAAGGTGTGTTCACAACATTCCTCGTAGACAACGTCACCCCAAACAAGGCGACCTCGAAGGGCAACACTGTGTTGACAACAAAGGAAGTACATGTTCCTTCGAGGACTCTTACAAGCAGCGACCTAATGACAGCAGGAAAAGTGATGCATGTACCATAGACGAAAATGGAACAGAACAGGACGAAGAACGACAAGATGCATTATCTCCGATTCATGATCAGCTATCTATGAGATGGTTCTGGTGGATACTTGAGTTATGGCCAATCATCTTCCGTCTACAGAACTCGCAAGGTGGCCAGCGAAGTCAGTACGAGACACGGTTCAACCTTGGAAAGGGGCGCAAGATATATGGAGATGCTTGGAATTCGACACCAAAGGAGACAGAAGACACGCGTCGATCGAAAGAGGACGTCGAAGGCGCGTGGTGGATAGAGGTGCATCGCTCAGTCCTCACACGCATCGAAGACAAGGAAAGTCGGTACAGGCCTCGTGCATGGTTTAGTGTTCTCGGGAAGGGCAAATTTCATTGGAAGGGCTTGCGTCCAGATTCAGAAAGCGATGCAGAGTCGGAGAGTGAACTGGACCCAAGAAGTAGTGAGGATTCAAGAGGCTGGCATCTGATTCGATGGGTAGATTAGCATTTGCATTCTATGAGTCCGAGAAAAACCCCCTGGGATTATCTCGTCTCTATTTTGTCTGATTTTTAATTATATGGGCAGAAGCATTGTTCCGACTATTAGTACTGTACGTTATCGTAAGGCCGAGTCTAGATATGCTAAGGTATTGCATGACGTTCCTACCTATTGCTGCATATGCCTTCCTATTCTAGGAATCCCATTCTAGGAATCCCATTTTCACTCATAGCGACTGGTATGGCACATCGGCAGGAACGACCATCATGGCATCACAGCTTCACCTCCTCGTCCGCTCCAATGCACACACAAAAGCAGTGCTTCAATGATCTCTCCTGATTCCTGATGCAAATCTCGTGAATCCCGAACGCTGGGCCTGGTCGAGGGTCGAGTGCGGGCAAATGATGTTCTGGACCTCCTGGCACACACCCTGATACGTAATTAATAACACGTGCGGAACTCGAGGGTGACGCACACCCAGTGACCCAAATATTAATCACACCTTTCTGCGTTTTGTCCAACTACAAGGTGTGCCACTGCACCTCATCGGTTTTCTCTCACAGAAATCGGATAGATTAAACTTTGTAGAATTATTTCGCCGAGTAGGCCATCTTCATGTTCCTCGACTACTTCAGAACATGAGAATCTAGGTACAGCAAATCCTGCCGCAGTTTGACGTCTGATCTTCAATCTCCCGCTGTTATCTACACACAGGGCACTCCAGCAAGTTCTAATGTACCTGAGATAGGTTCGAATGACGACTTTCCAGTCAGGCACAACTTTGGGTTCAAACATTTCAAAGCTGCTTGTTCATGTCTGTTTTTATTTCGAAATACATCATTTGCCGAAGAGAATGTATAACACAGAGTCAGTCCCACATCCCCTATGGGTTGAGAAACTAATGTGCCCTTACTCCCTACACCACATGCGTCACTGTTCCGCAATAACAAGGGGATTGTTGCGGTTTTCCTAGGCCAGGAGTATCCGACAGCCCTTAATGCAAGGCACGATACTAGAGTTGCAATGCATCGCGGTGGCACCAAAGGCACCAGTCTAACCATCTACATGGAAATATGTCATTGGACGACGCCGTCTGTGCGTTCATTGGGCAAGACAAGCATTCTTTCTATTGGTCCGTTGTTCCTAGGGATACGTCCGGTTGGCCGGAGCGGAATGACCAACTTTTGACATCAGCTCGAAGACCGACACTCCGACTTGCGATCTTCTCGTTTTGCTACAAGAACAGTTGCTTGAAATTCTAAGTGCTCTACGGCTTCTGATCCATCTTCCAATCATTGTATCTATCAGCAAGTACTCAGTGTTTGATCCTGGCACTGACCCAATCGTCGTACCGCCACCAGACGTCACTGAGACCTGTTGTTCATTGTGTAGAAAGGATCCGAGTTAATTTTGGATTCCCGTGCTTGGTTCGAGACTTCCATTCCCTACTTTCTAATCGTTTGCTCCAACTTGGCCTCTTTTTATTCACGAACCCCTTTCTTCCGTTGCTCGTTTCTAGGGATCGACATCCTCCACTCTGATTTGCCAAGCTGCGCTTGTGTCAAGGACATCGAAGAACGATAGCCTCCAATCAGATCGTATGGAACTCCGTGGTTCTTTAAATCAGTTGCTCAACCCGGCAACGATATCTTATTCGTGTAACCAGACCGAGCCGCAATTGACACGTCTTCGCCCCTTTGGAATACAATTTAACTGCTATGCACTTCTCTCTTCTCTCTCCCACTCCATCTTCATCTTTTCCCTCCCTAGACGAACAAGCTATCCTACCCTACAATGCCTTTCCTCAAAGTCTCCGACGCTGTCACTCTCCACTACCTCATTCCAAGTTGCCCTGATCAGGATCACCCATATTTGGATTCCAACAAGCCAATACTTCTGCTATTACATCCACGTCTTTTTGATTCCTATTTCTTTGCACCTCAATGGCGCGACGCTCGACTTGCACGGGGATACAATCTCCTCGCGATTGACCATCATTACCATGGCAAGACGAAGGCCGTGCTAGACGATAAGCCGTACGACTTTATGATGGTACGTGATATATATCGCCTGCCCGTGATTTGCATCTGTCGTCATACTGAACACCATGTCTCGTGGAAGATTGCAGCGGACTTACTGCATGCCTTAGACAAACTCCAAGTGAAGAAGTGCCATATCTTTGGGAACAGTCGTACGTCTGGATTGTACATGTGTGGCGCTCTAGAATTCGCCGAACGAATAGTGTTCCATAGTTGGAGCTTCCATTGCGTTTCGGATGTATGCATTGCGACCGCAGTTGGTCGAAAGTATCATTTCATGTGGAAAGCATCCGCCTGTCGAGGTGTGTTCATCTCCCCACCTTTCTTTTCTAGTTGCCCCTTCTTACATTGAACGGTAATTCTCCTATTCGGTCCGACGACTGACAACTGTGTCCATGTCGAACCAATCAGACGGAAGAAAATAAAGAACAGTTCCGCCTCCTGCGAGACGCGTGTTTAGACTATGACGATGATGGGAACGACAGGCTGGCGTCTGATGTGGTATACGGACTGCATTATATCTATTTCGGAGAGGAGACTGGAGCAGGTTTGTACTTTTTTTCGTTTCCCAGGCCGACTACTGTCGCTATGCCACGCGTTCTGACACCTTATTCAACAGATGCCATCATCGAGGAATGGGTGGCCACTTCAAACTTCCGTCCGTCAAACCGAAAACTCATCAATAAGATATTCTCTTCGCTTCTGGACAGAATCCCGCTCCCCCCGGACCAAGTCGCTTCTATTTCCTGTCCCGTTCTCATCATTCATGGAGGTAGGTTCATTACCTCCGTATTCCTGTATGGCATCCGAATTTACAAAATAAAATTCCTGCATACATTCGATGCGAATAGAGGCGGACGTACCGTATCCGCCGTCTGTGGCGTATGATCTCTACGACTCGTTGCCGAATGCACAGCGAGAATTGGTTATCATTCCAGGTGCACCTCACTTCCTGAGTTGGACACATGCGCAGGACGTCAACGATGTTGTTGTACGTTTCCTTGATCGCATTACCGGCATAGATAGTGAGGCCATCGGGCAACTTCCTATCAGTAAGTCTCGTCAGTTCGGCTACTTCTCCTGACCAAGTAACTAATTGGATTGGAATGCGGTGAATATTATACAGTATTTCAAAAGAAGAAGGCGTCTCTCTGGAAGAAACTTGTGACTTAACTCGTCGGATGTAAACGAATTAACACAATTGTTCTAAACTGTAAAACGATTTGACACGTTGCTCCGGTTTTTGGTAATATACATTACCTTCTTGGACTGGCTTTACCTCATAGCATTTTCTGCTTGCTATGCAAATGCGCCGATTAGCAGTGTATAATTAAGTCACTGGAATGTCACTATATCCCAGGAAAATGCACGCATTATTCATATTGTTTGGGCCCTAGCTACATGACAGAAAGTACTGTGACACAAGTTCGACGACCGTAATTCCATCCAATATGCAAATTTCCCCTCGCATTACTATATTCCCTGTTTATTCTTAAGATTGTGTTTGTCTAGAAAGCTGACAATTGGTGCGCAAATGTTCAATTCCGAAATACGTCTGTCGTCAGTTGCTCATCGTCATTCAATCGTCCTAAACATAGTACCTAGGCACTTTTAAATAACTGCGGTGTTGTTCCGGAAGAGAATTGAAACCTAATGGTTCGGTATTTGATCTTTTCTTACCTTCAAGCTCCCGATGGGATGCAAGCAGCAAGACCTTTTGCTGGTTGTACCCGAGTCACAGCAGTGCACTGCACCAGCACTTTCCAACCTATTTCTTAACAATCCTCAGACCTTAACATACTTTGCGAAGCACGTACCCAATGTGCGTCTCACTCAATGCCACGTAGTGATATTCCGGCTGGCAAACTGTATCGTGATTACCCTCTCGTGAATTGGCGTCAACTGCACGGATTAGCGTTGACTTGTACATGCATGGCTCAGCTGCTAAAATGTACATCATGACTTTATTAAACTATTAATGAGCAATCATTTAATATACAACAAGTACTGTGAATTCACTAAAGTAACGAAACTACAGAGTTTGATCCCAAAATTTGAAACAGTTCAAGTGGAAGACAATAAGAATGATCAAGTACGCAAAGCAGTAACGAACGGCATGCCGGACACTCAAAGATAACCCCACAGCCTCATCTCCTGCTCATCATTACTCTCCCTGATTACAAATAAACTGTTGCAACCGATGCATCAGGGATTTGTCCACCCCATCCTGGGGAAGCTCGTAAGCCTGCAGTAAATTTCGAAAGTTCTGACCTTGAAGGAAATCAGGTCACTGCACAACATGCAATGCAAAATTACAATGCTCACTTGCCAACCCCGTGAACTCTCCAGTTGTTCGGGGGAAATTTGCACCATTTGGCAGCGCCAGAGGCTGGAGGTTAGGGAGTGGCAGCGGCCTCAAGCGGGCATCGTCTCCCCCCCAAGCAAAGGCACGAGTATTCTGCTCTCGCGCATACTTCATCAATGTCCTGAACTTCTAATTAGCTATGGGTAACAGACAGAGGGAGAGACTGACATACTCGTAAATCAGCTCCACAGTGAGCTCTTCGCCATCGTCGGCTGCCAGATTCTGCAGAATTGTTTGCATGTTAATTGCAATCGTGGAGAGTCTTGCTCCTTGTTCTGCAATGTTGTGTATTTGATTCAACAAATTTGCTTGCTGCTGAGCCATTAGCATAGGTCAGTGACGATGAGACTCACAGTGGCGAGTCGACGACAAAGGATGCCAGACTGAAATCGAATCCCACAGTCACATGATGCGTCACAAGTCACAAATATGACGATGGTCACTCACACAATCGCATGTGATTGTCAAATTCGATTTCAATCTGGACTGGTCACTGATGAGACCGCCTTCGTCGTCGTCGACTCGTCAACGAGTGCCACTGTGAGTCTCATCGTCACCCTCTATCCTTCCAGCAACAAAACTCTGACCTATGCTAATGGCTCAGCAGCAAGCAAATTTATTGAATCAAATAGGTCACTTTGTTGTTTGGGCAGCAGAAATCACTACGGCTGCAAACGACATGCATACTGCCTTGCAAAATCTTATAAACAATCCGAACGTCACCGTCGATATCATATACGAGTATGCCAGCCTTTCCCCTTCTTTGTCAACATGGCTAATTAAAATTAAAGTGTGCTTGCCTATCGTGCACGAGAGCAGAATTTACGCGCCTTTACTTGGAGTGGTGACCCTGCCGAGCAACCACAATTGAAGCCACTGCCTCACTCTGACCTCCAGCCTCTGGCTCTACCGAACAGTACTAATTTCCCCCAAACTGTAGAACAATTCTTAGAGCTCACAAGTGAGCGTTGTATTTTTACATCGTATGTTGTGCAGTGACCTGATTTCCTTCCAGGAGCAGACTTCCAAAATATATTGAGGGCTTACGGGCTCCCCCGAGGTGGAAGTACCCTTGTCCTTATGAATCGTCTGAAAAGATTTATTTGTTACGCGGAAGATTAGGAAATGAGGCTGCAGAGTCTATCTTTGTTCGACATGCTTGACCATTCGTCTCGTCTTGTCATCCAATTGAATTGTTCCATGTCTCAGTAATTCTGTAACTTTGGTAGTACTACAGTATATGTTGTCTAATATGGGATTGCATTATATCTATTTTGGTGAAGAGACTGGAGCAGGTCTGTGCCTTTTCGCTTCCGAAGCCGATTATTGTCGCTGTGCCACGCGTTCTGACACCTTATTCAACAGATGCCATCATCGAGGAATGGGTAGCCACTTCAAACTTCCGTCCGTCAAACCGAAAAATCATCAATAAGATATTCTCTTCGCTTTCGCCAGAATCCCGCTCCTCCGGGACAAGTCGCTTCTATTTCCTGTCCCGTTCTCATCATTCATAAGGGTAGGTCCATTACCTCCGTATTTCCTATGTGGCGTCCGAATTTACAAAGACAATGCCTGCGTACATTCGATTCGAATAAAGGCGGACGTACCGTATCCGCTGTCTGTGGCATATGATCTCTACGACTCGTTGCCGAATGCACAGTGAGAGTTGGTTATCATTCCTGGTGTACCGCACTTCCTGAGTTGGACACATGCACAAGAAGTCAACGATGCTGTTGCACGTTTCCTTGATCGCGTTACCGGGATAGACAGTGAAGCACTTGGGCAACTCCCCATCGGTAAGTCCCGTCAATTGGGCCGCTTGTCTTGCTCAAGGAACTGATTAGATTTGAATGGGTTCAACATGATACAGTATTTCAAAAGAAGACGACGTCTCTCTGGGAGAAACTTGTGACTTAACTCTCAGATGTAACGAATCAACACAATTGTTCTAAACTGTAAAACGATTTGACACGTTACTCTGTTTTTATCTGCGATCAGTTTTTTAGGTGACTCAATCATCATTCAATCGTCTTAAATATACCTAGTTACATAGCTGTGGTGTCATTCCAGAAGAGAATTGAAACATAATGGTTTGGTATTTTGATCTTTCGTTACCTTCAAATTCCTGATGGACGCAAGCAGCATAACCTTAAGCTGGTTGTACCCGAGTCACAGCGGTGCACTGCACCAGCACTTTCCAACCTATTTCTTAACGATCCCCAGACTTTAACATACTTTGCAAAGCACGTACCCAATGTGCGTCTCACTCAATGCCACGTAGTGATATTCCGGCTGGGAAACTGTATCGTGATTACCCTCTCGTGGATTGGCGTCAACTGCGCGGATTAGCGTCGACTGTACATGCGTGGATCAGCAGTTAAAATGTACATCATGACTTTATCAAACTATTAATGCACAATCATTTAATATACAACAAGTACTGTGAATTCACTAAAGTAACGAAACTACAGACTTTGATCCTGAGATTTGAAACAGTTCAAGTGGAAGACAATAAGTATGATCAAGTACACTAAGCAGTAGCGGCGCACCAGACACTCAAAGATAGACGCCACAGCCTCATTTCCTAACTGTCATTATTCTTCCCCGTTGCAAATAAAATTTTCCAACCGATGCATCAGGATAATATCATTTCCATCCTGGGGAAGCTCGTAAGCCTGCAATATATCTCGAAAGTTCTGACCTTGGAGGAAATCAGGTCACTGCACAACATGCAATTCAAAAGTACGATACTCACTTGTCAGCCCCATGAATTCCGCCATTGTTCGGGGGAACTGTACGCGATTTGGCAATACCAGAGGCTGGAGGTTAGGGAGTGGCAGCGGCCTCAAACGGGAATCGTCTCTCCCCCAACCAAAAGTATGAGTGTTCTGCTTTCGCGCACGCCTCATCAACACTCTGAACTGCTAATTAGCTGTGGGTAACAGACAAAGGGAGAGATTGGCATACTCGTAAAACAGATCCACGGTGAGCTCTTCACTCTCGTTGGCTGCCAGATTATACAGTATTGCTCGCATGTTATTTGCAGCCACAGTGATTTCTGCTGCCTGAACGCTAATGTTGCCTATTTGATTCGACAAATTCTCTTGTGGTTGAGCCATCAGCAAGATATTAGATAAGCACTCGTTGACGAAGGAGGCAGTCATCCCACAGTCACATGCACGTAGGTACTCAGTACGCGTCTGTCACAAATCACAGGGACTTTTGTCACCCATCTGGACAATTGCATGTGATTGTGGAATTCGATTTCAGTCTGGACTCTGGATTGGTGAGACCGCCTCCTTCGTCGTCGACGAGTCGACGGGTGCCACTGTGCGTCTCATTGTCACCCTCTGTCCTTCCAGGAACGTAACTCTGCCTTACCTTGCTAATGGCTCAACCACAAGAGAATTTGTTGAATCAAATAGACTACATTGGCGTTCAGGCAGCACAAATCACTGTGGCTGCAAATAACTTGCGTGCCATCATGCAAAATCTTTTAAACAATCCGAACGTCAGCATAGACATGATATACAAGTATGCCAGTCTTTCCCTCTCTTTGTCAACATGGCTAATTAAAATTTAAGCACGCTTGCCTATCGTGCACGAGAGCAGAATTTACGCGCCTTTGCTTGGGGTGGTGACCCTGCCGAGGAACCACACTTGAAGCCACTGCCGCGCTCTGACTTCCAGCCTCTGGTTCTACCAAACGGCGTACACTTCCCCGAAACGAGAATACAATTCTTAGCGCTCACAAGTGAGCGTTGTATTTTTGCATTGTAGTTGTGCAGTGACCTGATTTCCTTCCAGTGCCGGACCTCCAGCATATATTGAGGGCTTACGGGCTCCCCCGAGGTGGGAGCCACCGTGTCCTTATGAATCGTCTGCGAAGATTTGTTTGTTACGAGGACGATTAGGAAATGAGGCTGCAGAGTCTATCTTTGGGCGTTGGCACACTGCTACTACTACTTGACGTGCTTGACCATTCGTCTCGTCTCGTCTCGTCATCCAATTTGAACTGTTCCATGTCTCAGTAATTCTGTAACTTTGGTAGTACTACAGTATATGTTGTCTAATATGAATTCAGCATTAGTAGTTTAATGAAGCCTCAATGGACATTCCAGTGACTAGGTCCCTACTTCTAGAACGGAGGTCTAGCGTATGTTGTCTCAGATTACAGCCCATACGATTATAAACCAGCATCAATCAACATTAGGAACCAAAAGATGCACACACCTGTCCCGCGTATATCACGGCAGACACGAGTCCGACGTCCCTATCGTCGGCATACTCTACACGCGTTCCACGGGGAACGGCACTGTCCTTTATTCTCTTCCGTCTGATAATTGATTGGGCTCGATGTGAATACAGGGACCACATAGGTGAATTTGAGTTTAGCGTGAGAATAAGCGATCAGAAAAGGAAAACGGTAAGAGAAAATCGCTTCAATAGGTGAATATTTTAATGATACTTCCCAACTGTAGTCATTCGAAACGAAACGCAATGGGTGCTTCTACTAAAAGAAACTCAATCTATCAATGAGTCCTAGAGCAGGTAGAACATACAGCGTAGATGTACAACGGTTGCCGAAGATGTGACACTTCTTCGCTTTGAGTTTGTCCAATTTATGCATAATGCAACACGTTTGCCACAATATTAATTAATCTTCTGAGTCGTATGGCTTGTCATCGAGCATGGCCTTCATCTTACAATGGTAATAGTGGTCAATTGGAAGAAGGTTGTACCCTTGGGCCCTGGCCGAGGCGAACATCACATCATTGAGGCGTAAAGAGACAGGAATCGAAGAGACGCCGACGTAAGAGTAGGAGGATTGACTATTGAAGTACTAACTAATTGTTTAATCACACGGTCATTATCCCGAGACATGGAACAGTTCAAGTGGAAGGAGAGTAGGACGGTGATTCAACAATCAACCTCAAAGTAGCAATAACTTAACTTGTTCCCCCTTCCCAATTACCATTACGGCGGATAGCAAGTAAACCTTCGTAGAGCATCACGAAAAAGTCTTAAGTATTATACTTGCTTGTAATCTTGTATATTTTATATATTTTATAAAATTTGTCCAATTACTTATAATCTTCCTGGGGGGTTAAGCAAGGAAAGTACAATGTTAAATAAGCAAGAAAAAATACTTTTAAAACTTGGCAATTTCCAATATAATTTTATAAATTGTCAAGTTATACAAGTGATTATAATATACTGCCTAAATTACAAGGTTAAAACATACTTATTAATTTGTGACAGTATAATATCGGCTTATAATGCTTACAAGTCATTACAAGTGTTTGAATAGCTTTCTTTTGCTTACTATACAATTTATATCAAATAATTAATCAAATATAATTATATTTAAATTATAGAATACAAAAATAGGAAATAATATGCTATTTCTACGGTCCCAACCTCTACACCACCAGCTGCCTCTGCCTCATTATTCTGTGAGTGGGATTCGTGTTGGAAAAGGATGAACGCATCCTCAGGCCGTTTGATGTAGTCTTCGTCACCACGTTTGGTCGTCACTCGGGACCTGTGAGTCAAATTGCGTGTGCGTGTGGGATGAGGTCGAGCAGGTTGTGGAGGTTGAGGCTGTGCCTGTTAGACAGGTTTAGAGTAGTTAGCAAGTGACAATAGGAGATAAAAGGTGGACGTACTGCGACAGCGTGTAGTGAGTGTGAGTAGTGCATACAGGTTGAGATCTGGAGCGTGAACAAGTTGATTCAGGCTGTAGACAAAGCTG